GCCGTTTCTATGGCGACTACGGTCGTTCGTAAAAAGGCGGGAAAACTGAGTGCCAAACGATTTTTCCATCCCGACAGACACTGTTTGCTTCATTTCTTCCCATAGACTTTGCTGCCATGTGTGGTCGTATTGGAAGCCTGTGAACCACAGAACTACAGAACAATACAGCCAAAGAACAAGGAACAAAGGAACTAAACCACAGAACAATACAGGCGGAATGTGCTTTCGCCTGTATTGTTCTGTGGTTTATTGGACCTACTGAGATCTCTTATCTCCCCGAGGCGAGATACTGACTAGTGAGAGAGTTATTATTATTATTATTATTATTATTTATTAATATAGCAACATATTCAATTTCCAGTAATATCATGTAAAAATGTTTTATTAATCGTAAATATCATTTTAACTAAAATTCTTATAACACAAACAACATTTAGAAGTTTAATAGCCGTATCACGTATTTCGCTTAAGGCTTTTGCATTCTTTCAATTTAGTTAGACCTATTAGGATTTCACATTTTCTATAATCTTAATTGAATATTCACATCCTCTACATGTAAATTCATTTTTAATGTTTAGTTACCTGCGATTATTATAATTTTTAATCGCATTACACGTGTTGCTAAAATCTGGTATCATATCGGTTTGGCATAATCATTTTGAATAGCTTTGCCAATATTTTATATATATCATCATTAATTCTGTAGTTCTAATCAACGCCGCAATAAATAAATAATTTGCATAATTCGTATCGACTTTACGATACTTAATATAGTCTTTAATTTACGTAATTAACAGCGAATATAGGGAATTTTCGGTGGTAAATTTAGAGTTGTAGTCGTAAACGATCGAACAGAAGCTTGTTCCGTAATGAAGGCCCCAACTCATTAAATTATCAAATTTAATCACGTGCTGTACACTAGATAGTATAGATTGACATGCGAATTCCTTCTGTATGCTAATAAGATCTTATTTGGATGGCGCGGTGTGTCGTTGTCCGATAATCAACTTGCATTCGAGTAATGTAACACTTAGAAAATTATAATAACGAGGAAGATTTAATTGTCCTATTGCAGCGAACGAGCTGAACCGTCTATATTAAATACAATTAATCTGCACCATTAAAACTACGTGATGTTCCTCTCTTTAACATATTGTATTTAAAATAATGAATCTATTTAACCACATGGGAAAATTCCTTTAAAGTGATATATTAAAAAATTATTTTAATAATTCGATAATCGTAAGCTATGTACAAAATTATTTTCCTATTTTATAATTACATCAATCTTCTGAGTAACTTAACGAGCTAAATGAATAATTATTTAATTAGAATTAAATGTTAATTTAATTTAAATGTTGTCAATTGTATGATATAAAATTATTCAGAAATTTAATTCGAAAATATCTTTCTATCGAATATTTTGATTGACAGGACAAGTTAAGACGATCATTTTTCGTTACATTCATACATATTTTATTTTAAAAAATTATTTTTTGTATATTTTTTTATCAAACACGGTCTAATTATTATGAAAATACATTCGAGAAGATTTTACATGACAATAACTTTTCCATTTTTATAATTTGCATAAAATATTTATTCTGATTTCTTTCAGACTGTCGACATCTTGAAATTTATATCTATTTTTATATTTAATCTTTAATCTGCTTTCAGTAATTCTTGAAATATTTTCATCTGTATTATGTTTTAGTTCAGTAAATTTTAACTTTTAACTCTTTAACAATAACGCTGACTATATTTTATCATTGGTGATGTTACCGACTGAAGGATATTATCTCTATTTTATTACACTGAACTCGGATTGTCTTAATATCTGTTTAGCGGAAATTACGTTCCCTTCTCATAAATATTAGGCGATTTACGTTTCCTTCGTATCTATATATTCCTAACATAACAAAATCATGACTATATTTCTGGAACATTTCTCTCATAAATTGAGTTATCATTAATATTTCTATGTTATTTGATATTTTATTGTCGTTATATATTGCATGATTAATTTTGGCTTTAACTAGATTTTCATTTCCGTATTGAACATTCTTAAGCATTTTATTTATTATTATGCATTTGAAATATAAGATTAAATTATCCGAATTATGTATTGACATTAAAAAATAGCAATATTTAATTAATCTGTGAATACATTCATTAATTTTTCTTTTAAATTTGTAATATAATCGATCATTTTCATCCAATATTTGACTAAAAATGACTTCACACAATTTCTAATCTTAGAAATTGATTCCTCCTTGCCGATATTTTGATTTTATGGCACGTTAGTAATGTCAGCTTAAAAGAATTTAAAGTTAGTCTATATGCCAAAGTTCATGCTCACTCTTTATGCATTCGTTTCATTGAAAAGTAGTGCTTTTGTACAGCTACAATTTTTTATGACGGATCGAGAACTACTTATTGACTACAAAAGCAACTACAGTTTTTAAAATAACTATCTTTTTGCCTATGCAATGGTTGAGGATAAGAAAATTGCATTCATGAACCGAATTCCAGAATCTAATATTGTAGTCAAACTTAACTTTGCTATATGATTGTAATCTTCATAGCTACTTTCAAGATAGATTTAGAGTTGTTACAAATATCTTATGCAGTTCAGAAGATCACTCTAAAAATATATTCTGCTTATAAGGGTCGTAAAACATTTGATATAATAGGATTTTTCTGTATTCCAACAGCTTATTCGCTTTAGTCTGTTTTGACTTTGAAATATTTTCTTTACTGTTTGAATAAAATAGTNAAAAACTTCATTCTTTCCATCAAAAATCTTCTTACCATTCTGATATACATACAAATTTCTTAAAATATAGAATTTTACAGCATTAAACTAATTTTACAATTATTTTTTTTTCCCATTATTCTTCTATTCTAAAATTTTAAATTTGACTTCTAGGCACTTTAATTTAATTGATTTTTTAAATATAATTAATTTTATCTTATCAAATAACGTTATACTTTATCATCATCATCATCATCATCACGCGATTCTTTACTGAATACAAAAAAAATTTCCAAAAAATTTCCTTCATTGTCCTGTTTGAGCAATCAAAGTTTCAAGGCAATATAGATTATTACACTAGTACTATACTACTTTAATAGTGTAATATTAACACGATTAATATATATATCTATATCTATATCTATATGTATATGTATGTATATATACACTCGATGGACCTCATTCATAAGGCCTTATAAATTAAATTCGTATAGAAATGAAAACTAATCAGTTCAGAAAAGGGGAGGAATACATTCAGAAGGCAAAGTTTATTGCAGAAAATTCAAGAAAAACCTGCTTAATGATATAAATTTAAGCAATTACAACAAGTGATATAAAGAAGGAGAAATCTTTTGAAAGAAATAATATAGAAGAGACTATAAATAGCTTGAAATTAATATAATAAAATTCAAGAAGTTTATAATATAATAATAGAAACAAATGTAGGTAACTACATAAAATATTAGGAAAAATACCTGAATAGATTGTTGATAACTTCTTAAAATCTCAGCCTAATAGAGTCAGTTATAATGAGAGTTAATATATCGTAGACTATATCCATTACATTATGAACAGAGAGGGTAGATTAATGATTAATTGCTGTATATTTATAAATTAAGTGCACTTAATTTAAATAGATTAGTACTAATTATTATATTTACATAATGTTTATGTAATTTGCATCATTTCTGTAGTGATTTTTAAATTCTGGTTATCCAATATAAATCAATCAATTAAAATAACAGATATATCATAAAATTGGTTAAATGAGAAGTTATTGTTAAAAATATTTTTAGTAATAACTTATTTAAATATCTCATTAGTAATAAAAAGCTTATAATAAGCCTACATATATTTTGAAGCATGTCAATTAGTTACACGAATTTAGAAACTTACAATCAAATTCATATTTGCAGTATTTAAAAGTATTATAATTAATTGCTTGTTACGTATTAATTAAAAACTTATTGTGATAATTTAAAGAATGGAGAAAAGTGCTTAGTTTTAGTTCAATTTAATATAAATAATTTGTTTAGACTTAATTTTAAGGAATAAAACTTGTCATTACCGTAGACAAGAATGTCGTGTTAAGACATGGAATTGATTAATGTTCGTCATTGTTGCACTATTACCAGCATCTGTTACTGGTATCAAACTCATTAAGTTTCAACCCAACTCTCTTCCTTTTAATTGTTTATTGCAACATTGTACTGTACTGCACATAATAACTACAATCTAAATAAGGGATATTAATAAACTTTTCTTTTCCTTTGGAAATTAAACCGTAATAAAACCTGTTTAGAATTTTAATTTTCTTTTTTTTTTATTTATTTAAACAATTTTATCGAAAAAGAGATCTGAATTTTAATATTATGCTTAAAATTTTTGCAGTATTGTGAACTATGAGATAAAATATAAGAATTGCCTTTTTCTGAGTTAAAAATATTATTTTGACAATATAAAAAAGTATATCCCACGAGCATTACCTAAGAGGAAACATGTTATGTCCTACAACAATCAGTAAGATCATCAATCACGGGGTCGCAGTCTCTTCTACCTTAACTCGTTAATCATTATTGGTGACTGTATTGTCAGGAGCAGTAGTCTGATTTTTAAAGTCCACCTGACAGGTGTCAAAAGCTAGAAATAGGTCATCTTTTTTGATAAATACAAGATAAAAGTGCTTACAAAGAGTTAAGTGGTTACTTTTTTAATTCAAACGAAACTGTATTAAACTTAAGATTAAATTCAGGAATATAAAAAAGAAATATTTTAACTTTATTACACATTAAAATATTAGAATATTTTCTCATATTTCAGTATGCAAATGAATATTTTCCTCGATACTTAAAATCATATGATAATTAAGCTTCAATTTCCGTTAATTGTTTATAAAATTTAATTTTATTAAATTGTATATAATGTCTATAGTAAATCTTATCTTTTTTTTCTTTGTATTTTTTAGGATCGAGAATTTGTAGAACTGGAAGTTCCTTACAATGGAAAACCTAATAGACCATCGTCAACTCCGCCCCTCTCACCAACGCCTTCAGTATCTTCACAAGAAAATAGTAGTGGTATCACAACGTGTTGCTCGGGTCGTTGTGGCAGAAAGAAAAAATATCAAGTTAGTAATTTGATAGATAAAAAATCAAAGTATCAAGTTAATAATTTGATTTAAAAATTAGCATTTTTTACTGTAATTACGCTTAAAACAATATAACTTGTATTATAATATTATCTATTCCCGATCCGTCATCCTAAATATGTTTGTACATGCTCGATAAATAATTTTATATATAGTTGAACTATTAAATATTCTATTTTTAGCAACACACAGAAGCAACGTTTTCTGAACAAGAAGAAGAACTAAACGATATTCAAATTTGCATGCCCAATAGGATTCCTCCTGGAGACCATAGTATAGGCATGTCACGTTCTAGTTTGAATAACCCAGTCCCAGCCAGTGGGAGCAATGTTCTATCGACGGCAGTTGTTCTATTGCCCTCGTCTAGTCCGAATTCTGAAATGGAAGCAATGTTATCTGCAAGTACCACTAGTACTGCGACGCCTTCTCCAGGTAACACCAGTACTGGTCCAATGGTTCGAATTTCTACACTTTAAGAAATGAACGACTTTCAATTATAAATATCATAAATTCACCATGAAAGACTCGAAGTTCTCTCCGATATAAATAAATCAATCGCATGAAACGATGATGTTCAAATTGATTACAAGAAAATTTTATATGCGAGAAATTCTCTTCTTTTTATGTATATTTGTTGCCATTGAAGAACGATGAAGGAAGGAAAATGACGATTCAGTGAGATTGAACAATAATTTATTAATATAATTTTCCTATTCGAATATAAGCAAAAATAATGTAGTTTTAAATCTCACCAGGATGAAAATTTATTCGAGTTTCCACAGCATCTATATCAAAGATATTTCGACGCGGTTTTAGTTACAATTAGTGAAGCTTGCTACTAGTCACAATACCTAAAGATGCTATCTCAAGCAAATTCCACTATGAAATTAAATATGATCTCATTGATCTGGCGAGAAAGTTTCGCTTTTATGTTTTATGGATACATTTAGGGAGATCGAAACGTGAAAGAATTTATTCTAAACCACGAAATTCGTTATCCTTGTGTCTAGGTGGGAAAATGTATAGATGTTAATTTATGTACTTCTGTGTGAGTATTGTACATACAGTATACTTATCTGTAAGTATGATATTAAGAGTATCTAACTCTAATAGAAGAAACTAATTTCGTTAATCAAAGTAAATCAAAGAATTGGCAGCATCCTCATCACTTGTCCATAGAATCGTTCGCTAGGATCTGCATGTATGTTTTCTAGACAAATGAATGTTTAAGAGTAGTATCGGCAAACTTAGACTGTACAGTTGTTTATTCAAATTAAAAGTACATCAGTTGAAATAAAAACAGATGTCGTTAACTCCTTAGATCAAATTTGAAACAAAGTGGAAAAAACAAATGGCTAGTTGCGTTGTCCAACGGTGACATCAAATAATTATATACATTACATATATGATATACAATGTATAACTGCAGTAAATATAATATAGAAAGTAACGTTAACTGATAGAATAACGTTCTGTTTATATTCCTATCATTTTCGTTTGCTTCCATGTGTGATTCATTCGATGAAGAATAAAATATTCCAGTTCGAATGGCATCCGATCGTTTAGACAAAAGAACTATGGATCGCAACTGCCACCATCCTATTTTAATTGCCTATAGAAAGGAGTTAAAATCATGCCTTTAACGATTTAATTCAAAAATAAGAAGATTCAATTATCAAATTTGAATCACATGTTGTAAAGGTACAGAAATTACGAAACGAAAACGAAAGTCGGTGATTTTAATTACAATTCACCTTATTAAAATAAATGTTAAAAAGAAATGTTTACCTCACAATATTTATAATATAATAATGAAGTATTTGCTTCTAAAGAAAAAAGAAAGATTCGCTTTTTATCAGCTAAATCTTATATTATTTAATGAAGAAATTCTGAAAGGAAAAAAAACAAATACGAGGAATGAATAAATTCTTGTGATTTACTAAATTCATTCTTTTGGATAAAGAAAAGGTATCTTATTTTTTAAATAATAAGATATGACGAAATTTGTTTTCCTTAAGACAAAACTATGAATTGTGGCATTTGAAGAAAGCACGTTCAAGAATTTCCAAGTTTTGTCTTTGAATGCAATTGTCTCACTCTTTTGTTTACTTGTTATTGTAATAATTTGAAAACTTAATTGCATTTGCACAACTTTTTTAATGCATACTTTATTTGTGGCCATTTTAAAGATTGTTAAATGCACAAGTTTTAATGATTCGTCCTTGATCTTTCATTAAGGAGTTTTGGTATTATTTATTCAATGTTCTTATTCCTATCTGGATCAATAAAGGGATGGAAGTCATACATGTCTCGTCTCATTTCACAAGTAGTTTTTTTATAATAAAATGTTTAATAGTAAAAATTTTAAATAATTATCTTTAAATATAATTTTCTCCTTAAAAACTCCTTAATTGGATTATCTAAGATAAGATTCGGTTAATTTATTAAACAATGTAGGCTATAAAACAGACTGATTTGAAAACTGAATTTATTAACGTTGATTTGACGTAGCTAATTAAAATTCTTGAAACTTGAATTGATGTATTTCTTTTAGCTAAAATGTCAAAAGATAGCAACGGTTCGGTTAATTTGGATATTGATGGGAATAACATCGTCCTTATACGTTGATTCTGTCTACGAAACTGATAACGAACCAATTAGGTTGTCAAAATTCAGAATATATAAATGCAACTAACTATTGGAGCTAAAATAACGAATTTTTATAAAAATACTGAATAAAGAATAGGCAAAATAAATTATTCGATGTTAAAACCGAAGTAGTTTCAAAGAATTTAATATTTATTAGCTATAAAATTGTATGAATCGATCGCTTAAAAGAAGAAATAATTATAAATACATTAAAGAAATCGTTTTATTTCATAAATTTTGATAATTCTGGAGAAAAATAAAAATATATCAAGAAGTTTTTTATTTTTAGAAGAAAAGCTTCAATGAATTTAAATGAAGTGAAAACAAGATTCTGATTTTGAAAGATAAAACAAACTTTAACTTGTTCCAAAAGAAATTTAAAGTTTAATTTGTCTCAATATTCAAACAACATTGAAGTAGTTTGAATGATTTTAATAAAGTTTGAAGTTTCAATTCGTTCGTATTGGGTAATCACGGACTACTTCTTTTAAATGTAAGTATTAGGAATGGTTATTCATTTTTTCAAGAATGCATTTAGGATTGATTTTAAATCGGTTTAAAGATTGGCAGATCAAAGAAGAATGCTTTTTTACTCTTAATTATAGCAATGGTATTGTATCGCTTACAATGTTATAAAGACATTTTAATGAAATACTCTCGAAAATAAAAAAGATTAAAACAAATACAAAATTAATTATAAATTTGTTCGAAAATTACAATTATTATAAAAATTTTATGAAAGAAATTAATATCTACACAAAGAAAAAAAAAAAGAAGAAAAAGAAATTTGTGTGAAAATTTCCAAGTGAGATTCGATTGTATTAGAATTTCAATACTTTTAATTATTTAAGCTCTTGGACACAATTAACCAAACAGAATTCAGCTAAAAACAACATTAATCGTGTCATTTGTAGACCCTCATTTAATTATTATAGTAGAAATTTTATGAGTGGACAAAGAAAGGATTGACAGATAACAAACGTATGAATGTATAAAAATTTGAATTATAACTAATTTCTTTTCCAAAATAATATTCGGAAATTAATCGAAATAAATTACAGAAATCGAAACTCGTTTTAATAAAAATTCAACCAAGAGATTGTCTATATTATAATTTTTAAAAATTTTAATTCAATTTTTTATAGTTCTTACGAACAGGCATCTGCATAAACGAACAAAGTTACTATAAAAACTATTTAAGATAAAGTTTGTTAAACTCTATCAATCATCAGCATGGCAAAAACGTTATACACTGAAGTTCTACAATAATCTTATCGCTACAGTATTGGCTTTTTTTTTTTGTTATTAAGAACTTCGGATAACTTTTCAGAAAATATAGAAAGATATGGGAATGATACTAAAGCAATTTCTTTTTAATTAACTTATAAATTGTCTACTGTTATAATAGAATAGTCCTAAAGTTTTCACACAAAATATACCTTCAAAAATAAGAAATAAATATTATAAAAATGATTTATAAAACTATAAATAGTTATAAAACCAAATTTTAAATGTTTTTTTAAATTGAGATTTATAAATATAACTATAAATAAAATTAAACAAACGAAAAATAATTAATATTCTAAAGACCTAAATACGATGAATTGAGATCATCTAACTTGATATCTTCATTTTTTGTAAAATATGAAGTTAAATTTTATGAATTCATGAATAAAAATATGAAAATATATTGAATATAAATAGCACAAACCACGTATTTCATGAATAAAGCCGCATGGTAGGAATGAAAGTGAATCGAACTTCGATCAAAATAGACTGATGTATTCTATATCTTGCTATTTACTTCTTTCCAACCTGAAATATAGTCAATAGAAACAGGAAAAAAATGATATGGATTAAAAATGATATCCGATTTATATTAGACCCATGTTCTAAGAAAACTACTGAAAATATGAAAATTATTCACATCCGCTTCCAGCTTTTCAATCGTTAAATCTGAATGTTTCACTTTTATAATTGAAGAAATTTTATATGTTAGAGTACTATTTATCGAGCTATTCCTAACTTTGTAAATATATTATCGACGATTAAAAAAAAAGTAATAAAATGATAAATCAGGGTTAGACGGTGAATGCGTATAATTACTGTATAAACTGAAAGATTGAGTCACATACTATACAGTTATATTGTGTTCGCTGAAAGCCATGCTTGCTGTATGCACTCTTTATGCTCAATTGCTGTAAAAATAGGTGAATAAGCAGAATGTTTCGGTTTCTGATTTTTTAGACATTTACTGTAACATCCAAAATCTTAAGGCAACGGATGACATGTGTTTCTTACATATAATACTCTAAAAGCTTGAATAATGAGTCTAACCTGCAATCGGTCAAAAATAACAGAGTAGGTTCTGGTAGAAGGCACACCCATATAATATTGTTCACCAACTAACTCACACTTCTAAGGGTGAGATGATGATTTGACAGAAAATTATATCTTGTTTTTCAAATCAGTTTTTCGGAAAACACTATTATTTTGCTCGTTGTTGTTTTGTTTGGCATGATAAGAAAACACCAGTTCAGTCGGTTTCTTTTAATAAAATTTCACACTCACAGCCTTCAGAACTTTTTCACCATAATTTTTAAAAACTGTCAAGATTGGCTTAAAATACCGGCTATTCATATAATTTATGGAGAACCATCAGTACAAGAGGATCAAGGCAATTTTTCTAGAAGTGATATTTATTTGAATGTATAAGGATTTAAAATAGTTTTCAAATTAAGCATAAATTATTATTCCATATTTTAAAAAAATAGAGAATCGACAGAAGAAAATTATGATATTTATCTATTCACATAAGTTTTTTTCCAGATTGCACGATATCAAATAACTCGAATGTTATAGAAATTACTGTATTTATACGTATAAACATAACTGAGTGCCGTATGAGATATAAAATATATTTTCATCTTATTTTTCTAATCATTCTTTGTTTATCGAAATATAAAGAACAGTTTCTCGGTAATATTGTAGAATTATTGCTATCTTATGAGAAATGTTTCTAAAATGTCACAAGAAGAAAAATGTTATGAATATTTTAAAACAAAATTAAAATGTCAAAGGATGTAATTTTTAAAATACTTAAAAAACAAATTTAAAAATATAATCAGGATTTTCCAGCGATTTTACTCTCCAGCCTCTTTGTTACAAACGTTAATTAGGACAAATTGTTTTACCATGAAAAATCTCATTTTAAAAGTTACCATTAATTTTGAAAATATTTTCCTGCTACAAAATAACATAGGCTATTTTACTCATACCGTAATATTTCACTATAATATTATATTTTAAGCTAGTGAATATTTCATCAATTCATTTTAAGAAGTTCGTCGATTTGCAACACAAAAATCAAATGCAATATCGCAATCTTTAATTTAAATCTCACACTGTAAATACTGCCAATACTGTTTGCCAATCTTCTTCAGATAAAATATCTATCTCGTGAACATTAAGTATTCTTTCAATGAGATGTCTTGTTTCTGATAAGCCTTAAATCTCCTAATGAAAACTTCACTTACTTTATTGTCGTTGTTAGAGTACCTATTGGTTATATTCAACTATAATTTTTAGTTTAAATTCTAGAAAAACAAAACAAAAGGTTATAAAGTATTTTAAACAATTTTTATAATTAAAGATTTAATTAATATAAGCATATTTTTATTATAACTTTAAGAGATTCTGACAGATTGGAGATGTACGGTATTGGCACGCAATTAACCAACAGATTTTTACAGACATTTAAATAAATGATAACACAAATAACTACTTATTCTATTCTATTCATTGACTTATAGTATGTTTCCTTTAAATTTAAGTATAGTAAATATTAATAATTCTCACAGAAAAATCCTTTGTCTGTGAGGTTTAAAGACTAATGTAAACTAGCCTTTCAATATACCCAGTTTACGCTATTCGCTATTATTCTTTAAGCCATAACTCAAAGATCTAGAGAATATCCCAATTCATTTGCGAATTAAAAATATTTTGTGTGTTGATTCACCCGTTTTAAAACTTTATAGTATTATAAGCACATAAATATTTAATTGTTTGTTTTAATGAGTTTCGTCTCATTTTTGTCATGTTTGTGGGTCTGTTCTTCTTTCAGCATGTACGGCATTTCAAGCGCATGAAAATTAAAAATAAAATAAATATGATTAAATATAATATAAAAACCGAATTAGAATGGCATAAAAATTTTCGCAGACACACATTTCAAAATTGGTAATGGGCTTTATACTTTCTCTGTTTTAAATATTTACTAAGCAGTAAAATAATACTAATTCTCGTAAAAATGATATTATCCGTACATAAATTAAATATTAGATTTAATATCATTAATAATGTAAAAATAAACACCTAATGATGAATAAAAATTTAAACACTCATTAATAATTTATTTACAAGTTTTTAAATAAATAATTCCAGAATCTATTTTTTTTTATTGGCGAGTTTTTTAACGAACATTCACTAATAACAAGAAAAATTTTCGGACTTAAATAAATATTTTCAGATAAAACTAAATAAAATTCGAAATAAATAACTGTAACAGAATCTGCAGAAGAAAAATATTCACAAGACATTTTTTTTTTACAATATAAGTTTAAATCTTAAGGAAATGAAACGTGAATAGGCTTGTA